TATTTAAATTTAAAACATATCTAAAAATAAAAAATAAAAAATAAAATTTATATTTTATTTTCATTTATTTATTTTTTTCCATTTTTTTATATTTATATCCCTTAAAATTTCACATTTTGGTTAAGTATTGTAATTGTTAAATTTAAAATAAACATTCATTATTAAATTGATTATAACCTGACATATTAAAATTGATTATTTCGGTTATTAAACCAAAATTTCATAAATATTTTTGGTTCAATTTTAGTTACTATAAAATAAAAAAATAATTAATTAAAATATGAATTTTAATAAAACCAAAATCAAAACATACCAACTCCTACCATTCACCAACTCTTTAAATAGGAAATTCGAGGAGATCATATTCTTATCTAAAAAAATATTAAAAGTTAACTACCCTAATTAAAAATAAAAAACGAACTCATATTTTTAAATAATATAGTTAATAATATTAATATTCTTATATACACTCGCCTCCTGCACTCTCCAGCCAACACTTTCACTTTTATTGGGCTACATTATCTTGGTTTTTTAGGAGGTTCATTTCAAAGCTAAAACAAGCTTACGTGGCCCAATGAAAGTGGAAGTGTTGGGCGGAGAGTGCAAGACGCGAGTGCCCCTAGCATTGCTCTTTACCCAGTAGAATTAAAATACAGGAATGAACGTTGTATGCCTCCTGTGCCGCTCCTCGCCCAACAGCCAGAATTGCAATTTCTTGTCCTTTTTATCAAGGAACAACGAACCGTTGACCCTACATTACTATGTAGGTAGGGTCATTTTCTCATTTTTTAATTTCGGGCTATATTTTTTAGTTAATTTATACATATTTTAAGAATTATCTTTTAATTTGATCAAAAGTATATTATTTATGTAAAAATTAAAAAATTAATGAGAAATTATTTTTATTAATTTTTTTAAAAATAATTTAAAGATAATTTTTATACAATTTTTTTGCATAATTATTTAATAATTATCACTTTTTATTGAATTAACATTTATAATATTATTTTTATTTATTTATTTAATAATATATACAAATTATATAAAAAAATTATTTCCATATAATCTCCCTAAAAATTGCATAATTGTACGTGGAAACAGTCTGCCTCACGGTTGATGCAGACATTAGTTTGGTTTTGACCAAGATTTAAGGAGGATATATATCCAGTGTATAATGCATTTATGTTAAATTATTTTTAAGAGGTACTTATCGTTGCGTCATGGATAAGCAGTCACTTAAAAGAAATATCAAAGAATTGACAACCCGTTTATGGGTGTGGTGATAAGCATCAATAAAAATGTTAAAATAATTTAAAATAATAAATATTATTAATTTTATTAATAAAAATAATTATAAAAATAATTATTAATTAATAAATAATAAAAATAACATCCTTGTTTTTGTGAATTTATTTTCTCACTAACCAAATGTCCAAAGCATAATTGCATGTGATTCTCACGCTCAATCTTAATGGTTTGGATCCTAAATTAATACAAACCATCTCTCATAAATTACATATTCAAGTTTCACAAATTTCTTTCTATAATTTCTATTTATTTAATATGTATAAACATTCTTTCGTTTAGGAGAAAAAAACATAATCGTATGTGGGACCGTCTGCCTGTATAATTGTATGGGGGACCATCTGCCCTTTTAGTGCATGGTAAGGACCATACAATAATCCTTACAAGGGTACGTTTGGTTTTGACCAAGATTTTTTATTCAATTTCATCGTATAATTGGGTAACTCATATTGGAATTTATATTGGTTATTAATATTTTTATATAATTTATATTTTATCAAACTAACAGTTTAATTTTATTTTTTATTAAAAAAATATAAATTATACAAAAAAATTATTAATAACTTCAAGTACCAGTTGTAACTTGATCCTTTCTTAATCTTATCTTATGAAAAGTTCTGTTTTGAAAATCTATGGGGAAAATTTTGAAAATGTTGATTACTTCACTATGAAAATTTTTGTTTAAATTATTGGCTTTTCATTCGAAATTGGATCTTGGATAATAGAGCTTTGGTTTTGGAGATAAGGGAGAAAAATGAAAAATTGAAATCTTATAATTTACATATATGGTCTCAAATTGAATCAAGTAAATTTAATTTTTTGAAAAATTAAAATTAAAATAAATTTTTTAATATTTTCTCTAATATTCTTTAAAAATTTTAGTATTAAGTAATTGTTTAATAAAAAATTATTAAATTAATATTAATTTTAATAATTTAATAAATAATAAAAAAATTTATATTATCTAATTTTATTTTATATTTATAAATTAAAATTAAAAATATAATTAATTAAAATTTTAAATTTTAAAAAATTAATTAATTTTAATCAAATTATTTTAGATTGATATGACCTAACCTAACTTGACCTTAAACCAACTCAATTAAATCCAAATAATTTCAATCTGAATAATATAAGATTTTAAATTAATACTTTAAATCTATAACTTGACTCATAACAAATAAATAGATTAAACATTTAAGTTAAATGCAATTTTCCCAAGTCTACTAAAAAAAGGAGGGGCAAAGCACCTCGAGGAAAACTTGCAAAAGAATTGGATGTGGCATGTTGCTGTCGCCTAGTTCGAAGAAGGAAGGAAGAAAAAAAGGGGTAAAGAAAAGAAAGGAAGGTGATCTTGCAGGTAGAAGGGCAGCGAAGGTGACGTTGGATGGCTCGGGTAGTGCAAGTATGGCAATGTAAGCGGATGATTTTCATTCATTTGTTGGTTAAGAGCATGTCTTAATTTTGGCAAGGTATTATAGTGGTGGGGGTTACTATATCACCATGTTTTTTGATTTTTCCTCTTAGGATTTGATTGTATATGTTAGAAAATTTCATGTAGATTGTCATTTATTTTTTTTTTTTAATGAAATGGGTCAAATAGAAAAATAAATAAAATTTAATAAAATTATGTGATTTAAGTGAATTTAAATTTTATTTTTTATTTATAAATTGTAATATAAATAGGTGTAAGATTTTCAATTAACGGTGAATTGAGTTGTTTGATGGGAGTTTAAAATTATTATATTGAATTAGGTCCATTCTTTTGTTTAGAAAATATTTTTAAAGAAATTAAGTTAGTACATATTTAAGGGTTAAAGTCAATTATCGTCCTTTTATTTTTATTATTTTTTGTTTGTTCTTGTCCTTCTACTAAAGATTTGTTGTCATCCCTCTACTTCCCAAACACTAGTCAACGTGATCCCTCTACTCACCTTTTTATGTTAAATGTCGTCCTTCTTCGGACGCCGTTGCTTGAGCCGTTTATTTGAACGGTTAATTGCACAACGGTCAGCAGTTAAAACATTTGTTTAATAATTTTTTTTCTAACTATGCTGATCAATGGGGACAACTTTTCCACCTGTGCTGCCATTCAATAAGATAAAATCCCCCAAATGGTTGTAGAAACCCTATGCCAAAATTCTTTTAAATTTTATTAATTGGTTAGTAAGAAGTGACAAAATAAACTTTTCATCAATAAAAAGAGTATGTAATTAACCACAAGATAACATTGCAGAGTCCAGGCCAAGAAACAAAAAGAAGGAAAGAAAAATACCATCTTAACATAACATAACAAAAAAGTGTTAAGTCCCGATAAATAATCAAATTAAATTCTCAAAATATAAAAATATAATTTAAAATTTATGGACAAGAAAAGAATACCATAAAA